TGGTGAAATTGTGGCCCAGTGTTGGGCTTAAATTTTGGTTAAAAGGCGGTCCAAGGATGGCATAAATGATGGTCCAATATTAGCCTAAATATTGGTTGAATCGTGGTCCTACATTGGCATTAGTTAATGGTCCAACGTTGGATCGGGTAGCGGTTTCGAGAAAATCAACATTAGGCTAACATTGGAGCCAATATTTGCCAGTTGCGGGCCTATTTGGTCAAGCAATGGTGTGCTGCTTGGAAGTTGGGGCGCAGTAATCGTCTAAAAAATAACGCACTATGTTTCTTTTTTGTTTTTTTATTTGCGGAAGTGATGTGTTTTGTCGTCTGCTCTCAAGCGCGTTCTCGCTGGGTTGAATCATCGGTCTTCCTCGCGCAGATTCCGTCTGCGACACAGGTGACTTCTACAGTCATTATATAGAGCTGCGACTCTAGTGTGTAGTGACTTCCAAGCATGCTTTGGGATCCGTGATCCCTCAAGTTTAGCAGACCGTTTTTGCACCTTCGATACGATACTTCAGCGGTGCGATCGGCCATGGAGTAGTTATGCCTGGGCGCGTATCGGGCCGGCTGGAACCACGGCTACTGTTCTCGCACCGATTACAAAATTTTGATTCCTGTGTCGTAGCGGGACTCAACAGGTTTTAATCACGACTGAAAGTAAACATCTTGCTGTACTTTAGCTGCGGCAAGTATATTTGAGATTGCTAAAATTGGTAATAGAAAGAAATGAAAAAAATAAAAAATAAAAAACAGGAGATGTGCATTCTCGTTTTTTCTATTTATATTCCTAAAAAGTTGACGCGAAATCCCTCATGCATCCATGGCCTAGCGGATAAGAGGTCTGCTACTTTGGCCTACCTAGCGAGTGGATTTTCAACTAAAAATATTAAGGAAACCAACCCGTCCTGGGTTTCGAAACCCAGGACGGGTTGGTTTCCCTTATATTTTTCCTTATGAAAGTTTTGCTAATAAACTGTGCGTTAAAAAAAGAAAAGAAAAAAAAAAACAGGTTTCCAGACTAAACTTGTCAGACCAAACAGGTCTCCAAACAGAAAGGAGCGAAAGCAGGGAGCGCCATCTATCGGTCTTCTTTTCAACGAATTCCCTCGACGCCGGAGTAGCCACGCGTGTGCTGATCGCTCTAATCCCCACACCCGTTCTCGGCCCTTTCGCCTCCCTTAGCCTTGCCGCCGTGCCCGGCCTTCCCCCCTCTTTCGGCCTTGACACCCCTACCGGCCCTTTCGCAGTCGTCGGCCTAGCCCCCGCACTCGGCAGTTCCGGTTCGCTCGGCCCTAATCCACGCTTGGCCCTTCCGCGAGGGCCGGCCGAACTGGTAGTGACCCCCAATCCCCACACCCGTTCTCGGTCCTTTCGCCTCCCTTAGCCTTGCCGCCGAGCCCGGCCTTCCCCCCTCTTTCGGCCTTGACACCGATCCCGGCCCTTTCGCAGCGGTCGGCCTAGCCCCCGCACTCCGCAGTTCTGGCTTGCTCGGCCCTAATCCACACTTGGCCCTTCCGCGAGTGCCAAGTGTGGATTAATCCTTTTACGGATTGCTACGTCAACGGTGTTCCAAGCCGCTTACAAAGCAGCTTAAGACCCCGCGGTTTTAGCGTAAAAGGATTAACGTCGTAAGGCGATATCGTCTGCTATCCATCCGAATCGGCTGGCGCTTCCTCGTAATGGGGCTTTAAGCGCGATCCAAACCAACGCTTCTTTTTGCGCCTGTAGGTCGTGCGGCTGCGGATGTGACGTATTTTCGTGACGTCGCGCCGCTTCTTCGCTCCTTCCGGGCGCGCACAAGAAAGTTGGTTGATTTCAACTTCTTTCTCAACGCGCACAAAAACGCGCGGTGACGTAGTAGGGCGCTCCTGTGTCCCGGCCAATCGGTGAAGGGCAAGCTAGTTCCGGCTCCGCGTTTCTCGCCGTCTGGCTGCCCTCTCCTCCCCCCCTTCTATTCTCTTCCAACATGACAACGCGATCTCTCTCTCTCTCTTTCTCTCGCCGTCTGGCCGGCCAGTCTGTCGCAGTTGCACCTTGCTTGTGCGCTCGTGCCTGCGTGCGCGCGTGCGCGCTCGCCCGAAGTTTTGCCCGTCCAAACCAAAGCGCACGGTTCTGACTCAGAAAGCGCGCCCGGAAACAGCAAAAACGCCACGAAATGCGTCACATCCGCAGCCGCACGACCTACAGGCGCAAAAAGAAGCGTTGGTTTGGATCGCGCTTTACTCCCTCGACGCGGCGTACGCCATCTGTTGGTAGCATTTCTCTCTATGCATCTGCGTATTGGTGGCGTAAATTGTCCAAAACAGGTTTTTTTTTCTTTTTTTTTTTTTTTAACGCGATAAGTTTATTTGTGATTTTCTTACCGTGAGCTTTAACCACCTGCTTGCACCTCTGTAGAAATTGCAGTGCAATACGATAAAACCCTTTCTTTTTAGGGGGGGGGGGGGGGGGGGGCGTTTAAGTGTTTTAGAAGCGTTAGTTTACACGCTGTAGTTGTGAGTAGAAAAACATTGTAAACCCAATATAAGTGAAACCGTGCGTCGTGTTTCAGTGCTCAGTCACATGCTAATGTTTCATGTGCGAGCAAAACCACAAAAGGCGCCGTTTTACGAGAAGCTCTAACTGAGTATATATAGTTTAGAGCCCTGCCACAGACATACAATGACAAAACCTCACCATCAGGAAGCACAACACGTTGTTGCATGTTTGATGTCTAAACAAGCTGCAATAAACCCAACAAAACAGTCGTAGAACCCAGGCACCCTATAGGTTAGGAAAGTGAATTCCCGCTACCTGAATTTCCATGCTACGAGGACTACAACAAATTGACTTCATTTCACCGTAAGTCAGGGTGCAGCCCAAGTCTAGAACGCATACATACACGGATAGACATACTACAAGCGCAATGTTCGACGTTGCATGATTGGCCGCTTTCTGACATAAGATGGCATCACAGAGCGAAGGGTAAGAATCGTCAAAAGGAAGTCAAATTTGGGAGTTTTACGTTTCGAACCAACGGAGTGCGTCTGGCACGTCCCAGCGGACCACTGAGGATTAATTTCAGCCCTCTATAGATCTTTCGATGTGCAACCAAAATCTCGGTTAACATGGCGCCTTCTCCGGATTATGCCTCCGTCAGATTGCGGACACCTCGGCTGGGATTCGAACTCGCCACCTGAAGGTCCGTACACCGGGATCCCTAGGGCTAACAATCGTGACTCACGATTCATACGGCGAATGCTCGCTTGTGTCTCACCACACTCGCCCGGGAACGTTTTTGCCCTCTGTGACGTGTGAGTACTCTGGCGTCGAAACAGGGGAGTGGGGGATCGCCTTCCTGACATTTTAGACATTTCTATATGCAGTGCAATCCATTTATAAAGATAATGAGAAAACCCGAAGATCCAATCGTTATAACCGATTATCGTTGTATCTGAACTAGAAAGTGGTCGTTTCTAGTCTAGAAACTCTACAAATTGATCGTTATAAGCGGACATAGTTATATGTGGCATTTTTAAGTAGAATGCACTGCACAAATTTGGGGGAAGGGGCGGAAATCACCCACTCCCACTGCCGTGTTGGAGCTTCTATACACCAACTCATGTTTACAAACAAACCGGAGCGCCCGGAGCGCCCCTAGCGGACGCCACCGGCGCCGCTCATGCGCGATGGAGGTGTGGGCAAAAAGCTCGCCGTCGCCCATAAATAAACCATTGAAATGCGATGTTGTCGGCGTCGGTGAGTCCCCCTGCCCTTTTTCGCGTTCGAATTGTTGGTTCTACGTCTTCCTGGCGATGTCTGACTATCTTGAGCGGCGTCAGCGAAATTACCGAGGCTCGTTACACCCCGAAACTTCGCGTGAATAATGTGACATGTGGCGATTCATTCCGCGTGGACGCCGCAGATTGTACGCTAAAGCCTGATTCGCATGATGAGATTTCGCTCGGAATTTTCAGTCGCCACGCCGCTCGGGCTTTAAAAGCGTGAACCGTAGCTGAGATGGTAGACGACGATACTGAAAATCGCAAGCAGAATCGGACCAGCTGAATTAGGCATAACAAGTCGGTGTTTGTCACTGGTAACAATGACCAACATCTCCTTGTATCTACTGTTTACACCGAGCCTGCTTACCAGCCTTCAAATTTAAGTCTTTTGAGGCCTGCACTCACTTCTTATCGCAAGCACCGGGCCAACATTTGGTCTACGGACCGGCGTCGTCTAAGAGAGCAGACGACAAGCAGAAACGTTTGAAAGAGCAGACGACAATTCGAACAATCAGGCGGCCGTTTGAACTTGAAGACGCACTGAACGTAGTCCACAGGTGGTCCGCACAACTTGATAGTTTTCTGGCGTTCATGTTGGAACAAAACAAATGAATCGGATGACCACAAGTATCCGTGAATTCAACCCAAAGTGCTTCCCGCCCAAGAAATCGTTGTCCGACGGCGTCTGCTTTTCCTTTTTCACGGCACATATCCAGATTCTCGGACGAACCGAGCACGTGAACACTGACCTTCAAACCTTTCTCGACACTTTTGGTACGGCCCCAGTCGCGGCGTTTTGACGAGAAGGCAGGTTTTTGTCTGGTTCCTTTCAAAACAACGCAGGAATACACGTCTGGCATGGGGTCTTCTGCCCACAGCCCCAGACCGGAAGTGCAACCGACGCGCCACCACCGTGCCGTGACGTCACAGAGATGAGTTCGTGTATACGGGACTTTAGCAGTGCTAAGTGACTTTACTCTTTTCTACGTGACTTGGGGACCTGGAGCACATTAGAACCGCCCTCACTCTCTCCCTCTCTCTCCTTCTTCCCCCATACACACACACACACACATTTCCCGCACACTTCTGACAGCCCTGGACGTGACCTCAAAGAGTCATTGCCGTGAAACGATCCTATTGCTTTCCGTAGTCTGTCGAGAGCGACGAGAGCGGAACCGTTATCTGCGGCGTTTCAGGCAAACACGGCTATCATTCAGCGTCCGTTGCCGCCGAATGATAGATCCCCAGAGTTGGCAGGGCTTTCACCTGTTCGGTTGTCTAGCCGGTGCGATCCTGCGATGCTCATCAACGTGAGTCGATCCGTGGGCATAACGCCGGAAGGGTTCACTAACGTTGGCTTAAAGCGATAAGAACCGATAACTTAATTTTGTTTTTCGAATGCTTGACATTACAGCGTTAATTCTGATAGACAGCGGTCATGTAGATGAAACTCGTCTTAGACAAAACCCTTTGATTAATATCTAGATACAAACAATATAGCACAAATGAAACAAGGAAAGAGGATCTTGTCGCATTTGCGCTATGTTATTTGTACCTAAACCAGCTGCAGCCCAACAATGTACATTACTTTTATTATATCTCGTCTGAAACTGTTGTGCTCATTGTGTGGCATGACATTTTATGTTGTTATCGTTCTGAAGCTGAACAAAAAGGGGCCTATGAACTAAAATTTTCTGCAGGAAAAGCAAACGCTACATTCTGATGGTATTATTAAAAAGTTTAGGTAGAACTTTTTTCATGTCGATAACAATTATTTGTTGCCTGCATACACAATGGGTGCTGCATGAGCAATGTGATTCCTGCGCAGTAGCCGGTAATGTTATCGGAGGCCAAAAAAGATCTAGTAAAACTATTTTGTTGAGAGAGCTTTTTATCTTGATTCGGTTTGATTGCTGACGCGAGGTGGCGACTGCACACACAAGGAAATGTTTCGTGGGGTGTTAAAATAAACAACATGATTGGGGTTGGCGAACGTGCTATCTTGAGGTAGAAGTGGAATTTTTAAAATGCGTTAAGATTTAATAAAGTAATTACTTGTTGTTTTCGAGCAATATTTGGGGCTGAACAGAATGGGAAATGCGTGCTAAAACTATGCGGCGTAGGAAAAAAAAAATGGCCCCGGAAAGATTGGTTTCAACTTTCAAGTGCCAAATAGCAAAAAATGGTCCCAAAGGGTACCGGAAAATATTGCCCGTGGAACCCATTTGGAAACGGGAAATAATAACCCCACAAAGTTCTCCAAACACAGTAATTCCATTCTGACTTAAAGTGCTGTTATTCTTCTTTTATTTTTTTTCTGTAATAAAGAGAAACCGGGAGATGCACTTGAATTCACTGGTTTGAACATTTTAATACTCGCAGAAACGTTAGAATCGAATGATACGGCCGACTCTATGCTGGAAGCCCTCAGTTGTTGTCATCCCGGTGACACACCACTCACAGAGGTTCTTGAGAGGACGTTTCATTTGAACGAGCGCCGATTGGGTCCTGGGCAGCGTTGTACGGAACGGCGTTCCAATTGAGGAACGGCGTTCCTGAGACGCGTTCCTTTTAGGAGGAACGGACGGCAAGAGGACTCTCCCTTCCTTTTTGTCTATATATCTGCCATTTTACTCAAATTTTGTTGGCGTTCGGGCCTTTTTTTTATTTATTATTACCGATTATTTTAACTTTCGAGTTTAAGGGATGGAGAAGTATCCGAGGGATAGTCGACAACAGAGAATTGGAACAAATGCTGCGATGGCGAAGCGACGCGCGGTTAGTTCGAGGTAAATATTTTCATTTGCTCGCTTTATTTTACCCACGGATTAAGTGGCACGACAAATTGATTAAAATACGCAACAGGAACGTTAATTTAACGACACATACCGATCCTAGAAACGTACCGGGAACTCGTTCCAAGATTGAGAGGGAACATGGAACGAGTTTACTTTCTGTTTTTGGAGGAGCGTGTACAGCTCTGGCCCATGGGCCATCTTTATGGTTATCTGTGGATTCCTCCGAGCGTATAAGGCGTCGATGAGCTTCCAAACTGCTCGACGGCTCATGGCTGCGACCGACAATGTCTCCAAACATCCTATTGTACGCTTCACGCCAGTGTGTTGAAGTGCATCCCCCGGTTTCTTTGTATTAAAAAACCAAAACAAAGGGCACTTTAAACCCGAATGCGGGTGCTGTGTTGGGGTAAATTTGCGGGGTTCACTCCAATTTCCAAATGACCTTCGGATCATTTTTGTTTTTCAACTTTCCACTTGGGACCATTTTTTTTTCCAGAACAATTCTTTCCGGTCTATTTTTTTCCGGGGCCGTTTATCCGGGGGCCTTTTTTCCGGTACATCAGTATTATGGCTGTATTATAATTACTTTTGTATTTTAGTTGCTCCGGTCTTTATATTTAAGTGAAAACATTTTATATAGATTTGTTCGGTGGAATGCGTGTGTGCGCATGCAGTTTCCACACCAACTCTACTCTCTGACGTCACGTCAGTGCGGTGGCGCTGCTGTCGACGCCATCTCTCGCGGGTCTGCTTTCTGCGCAAGCGTATGCCACGCTAGAGGGGTGGGCAAAGCGGGCTTGTTTGTAAACAGTGTGTTGGTCTCTATAGAACATAACGTTATAAATGATTTGAACGAGATAATAGGATCACCATCGAGAACGTCGAAGTCAGCGGCTTGCAGTGCAATACGAGTATTTTATGGGCGATAGCCCGCCGTGGTATCAATCCAAACTGGGATTCCCCATTAAAACAGCGAATTTTACCCGCTATGGTTTAGTGTCCCAGACGTTCGCATGCCGGAAAATATCAAAATGACATTTATTCTTGCGTGGCTTATCGACGTAAATGTGTGAGAGAAAGATCCGTCAGGATGTCGTAGGAGCGATTCTCTGTAGAGGTCATATCTATAACATGTTGCAAAATAATAACGGTAGCACAATCATAAAAAAATCGCCGCCTTTTCTTTCTGCACAACTTCGCAAACGGGGCTAGAACCCTTCGATATCTCAAAACACAGGAAACCAAAATACTCAGCAGGCAGCATCGTGCAGTAAAAACTCATACTACGAGCTCTGGTATGATTCAATTTCGATAGGGGCAGGTATGTCGCGGGCGCAGGTATTTGTTTAACGGGGAAGTCGAAAAAGACTCATAGATGTGTAATCGTACCGCTCAGGTTCGTTGCACGCATCGCAGTATCGTTTCACGGTATACTGTATATGTCATCGTAGGGACCTTTAGCAAACCGTTACCGTGTTCATCGAACCGCACTACCGCGGTGCCTTTGAAGCCTGCTTTTAAGCGCGTGCCCCGCGGTCAATGTATCACTCGGGTGCGCGCTTAAAGGAGCTGTGCAACGATATTCAGTTGGAATGTTTTTCACTATACACGAGCTTACTGGCACACCTGGGACTCAAGGATACTCACACGCAACGCCATTGGCCAACAAACTCCTTTGTTGCGGTGTAATTTCAAGGACAAAAGCGATCATTTTCATTCAATCTCTCCTTTACAAAATTTGATGACGTAACTCGGGGATCGCAGTACACCCAAGTGACGATATTTGAATGCGGTTCATAGATTGGACCCGAGCATTGCGTGGGCACTCGACTTGGGCTCGTGACAATTGCTAGCTCGAGAAGCATTCGGGTAGTGGCCCGTGTCCCAATCGCTGCAACGACGACAACAGCCGAGCTATAACAATGTCTGGAACTCAGCGCGTGTCCTGCGCTTTGCCAACCCCAGCGCGTGGCTATGATCAACACTGGCGGCATATAATCGGCTCCAGATCACGTGGCCGCTTGTTCTGGCTGCGAGTTGAGGGGGTGAACGCTGCTCGTTTTTCTTAAATTTTTTCTGGGACTTCTATTGCGTGGGGTGAAAAACGAACGCGTGTTTCATAGGTCATTAACGTTAGGGATCCATTTTAAGCGGTATTTGTGCACAGTACAAAAATTGTTGGCTCCTTTAAAAGCATGCTTCGAAGGCTTTGGTCGTGCAGTACGCGGAACAGGGTAACGGTTGGCTAAAAGTCCCTAATGTTTAAGGGCATCGATCCTGGTAGGCCTCCGACGCGGTTAGCCATACATTAAACAACAAAAAATTCAGTACAATATCGGGTCATCTTTCCAGAATGCGTGCTCTAACAAGATTATACCCGGTCAGAGCGGTATTTTTTATCTGCCTCGACGTGGTCGTCGCTCGACAAGCATGGAACGAGGAAGTCAGGCGACAGATGACAGGCCTTCACGACGATTTTCCCGCCGGCAAGCTGTGGCCCGATCACCGGAATTGTGAGTGAAAGCTACTCGTAACTGCCTAGCATGAAGTAGTATTCCGTGACTAATTATTAGGTCAATTCTTGGTTCTCGCCGCCAAAAAACGCTTCTGTCATCCACTCACCCATTTGTATAAAAACTCCCTGGGGGATGCACGATACAGAGCGGCACAGTGTTAACAGGGACACACGATAGTCGGTGTTTTTTCATTTTTTCATTCATAACAGAAATATTATAATAAAAATTACTGTAGTTGACTTAAGAACCCGGCCGGTACCCCGATTCTAGCACGCGATATTTGCCAACCGGAGGGCTTTGGTTGCGCGTGCGACGAGGGTGGGAAAGGCGGAAATTTCGTGCTCGAGGAGGAACCAACTATAATTCGGATCTGCTTATCCCTCCACTTAGGTGGTAAAATTTGATGCTGGTCGCTACACTTACTTTATAAGTAAAATGCGAAAGGTACTGACATCGTGTTTGTGCTAATTCGCTGTTGCGCAGTTGCACACTGCTTTGCAGATAAAAACTAAAACAGGCATTCATCCATTGCTACCTATATTGTAATGACAATCTTCGTAGACGCTGTCGCTCGTCTTTCAGTGAAGACGTCGGGATTGCGGGAGCTCTGGCGATGTCTGCCAAACCCACAACTCTGTGTCACTTGTCTATAAGAATGACCTACATTCTTACAGAAAGTTTTACAACGAATTTAGAAATAGCAAATGCCTGGTTAATGCTCTTCTTGTGGGCTTTCGACATAACTGCACAACTACTTCACAGACGTTTTATAGAATACATTAATAGATTTGTCATTAATTCTTGAAGTAATGTTGTCGTTTCCCCCTCGTGAACAAGACCATTTTTCTTTTCTTTTGAACATCATTTGTTTGAAAAGATAGTAGATGATTAAAGATCCGTTTCGCAGGATTAATACCGGATAATTAAATGTATTATTAGAATGACCTCCTTATCGAAGTAAATTGAAAGCTGCTCTTTAAAGATAAAAGTAACTGAGTAATGTTACAGAAATTATTGCAATTAATTAATAATTTCATTGCTGAATTACTAAACATAGATAGCCATAAAACTATAGACAATTGGTTTAATTGCGAAAAATAAAACATTGCAGTGGCGTCAGTAGGTTACCACACCATGGAATAACCATTGCGATAAAATAAAAGAAATCGTCAAAAGATTTTGTTTTGTTTTTGAAAGTATTAACGTTTTTAGAAGATGACTTCTACAAACATTTCTGGAAAATATATTTGAAGTCGAGAAACGGCGCTATAAAGGTTGGGTTATTACTTAATAGTAGGGTTCCGTGTTTTCGAAGTTTATTTTTCGTCAAATTCGGTGGGTGTTTTTCGGAGCTTATTTCTTGCCGAAAATTCTGATCTTATCAGAGATTATTTTGTTTGACTCCCAATTTTCCTAAATTCGGAGTTTAATTTCGCAGTGTGTAGTATTACAGATAAGTAAGTAAATAAATAAATAATATTCGAGTGGTACGGTTGGCCTGGCAGAGATCCTCGCATTCTCAGATCAAGTTCACTTTCGTGTGTCGGTTCATGAGCCTTTGAGCTGAAGATTTCAGGACTCCATCTCGGAGAGTGTTGCGCCATTCCAGGAGGGCATCAATCAATCAGCTTTTTCGCTGCCTGCATCGCTCTCTCTTTTATTCCGTTGGACTGAGGGTGGTAGGGGCTGGAGGTCACGTGGGAGACTCCTCGCTTTTGCATGAACTCCTTGAAATCGGGCCGTTGTCTTAAATTAGTCTGACTGGTGGTCCATGTACTGCAAACTTTGTCAGACAACACTTGATCATGGGGTTGGCAGTTGTCCTCTGGAGTTGGTGCAGTTTATGGTAGAAAGTAGTGGTGACCCGAGTGTTGGAACAAGTCTATTCTTGCCAGGGTGCAGTTGGTACAGGATGGTTCATGAGATGTTCCTGTGGTTGTCTCGGCTTGCTTTCCTTGCAGACGCTGCAGTTTTCCACCTTTTCCTTGATGTTGTTCTGCACTGCATGCCAGTAGAGAACTTCTCTAGCACAATGCAATTTATTGTTTTTTTTTTTGCATACGTGAACTATTTATTTATGCATAAGCATACAGATGACCGTAACTTTGTTGATGTCTTCGTGCCGGGTTCCCGTGGCGTCTGTATCGTTTCTTCCGTCGCCGGCGTGCTTACCGATGTCCTGCCTCTTGTGTCGTCGGTGTCAACCAGCCTACTATTGTTATACTGCTTAAAGCTTTAAAACGAAACTAGAAACACCGTGCTGGAAACAGGGACTAATAGAAAACTTCATAGGATACCCCCCAGCGTTCTAGTTTCTCATGGTCCATTGTGATGGCTCCTTTCACTGGCATCACTGAAAGGTATAAGCGCAGTAGTACACATCGCAACACTGTTAGCGCGAACATAACATCGGCGCATTTTAGCGTTTTACTTTTAAATTGTATTAGTGAGCACAAAATTGTATCGCTTACATTACAGAACGAAATGAGCTCTTTCCGTAGCAATAATAACTTGGATGACATCCCTTGGTTTCAAGGAGAAAAACTGGAAAAACCGGTGATCGCTTGTTTGCGCTAACAGTGTCGCGCTCTGTACATTTCACCGGTACCACTGCGCTGGTACCACTCTTTCTCTGAATCTCACTTCGTCAAATTTAATGAAACTAAACACTTCGTACTACGACTACAGGTATAGGGTGCTACCATCTGCTTCATCGACGCCCTTTTGATTGGTCAAATCAAACCAGGCTTGTAATTCTTGTCAGCCCAATGACAGACAATATTTAGGTTAAGAAAACAAAAATCAATTTGGAAGGGGTGCTGTCAGGTTTGAGGGGAACTGTCCTTCTGTAACTACCTTTTCTTTTCAAGGGAGACCTTCGCCAATTGTCACGGCTGGGGCCATCGCGGCCGTCGTGTTCGGCTGTTTGCTGCTGATCGCCTTCATCTTTGCCTGTATCATCTGGTGCTGCAAACAGGGATCAGCCACAGCGGTGCGCATGGATTGGAAAACCTATGCATAAGCATTGATATCTTTGGACTGACCTTTCCGTTCGTGTCACAATATCTAAGCCTGTTCTAAAGGAGATCCTCTCTCACTTCCCTTAATCGCGCGCTCGTCCTCGAAACTAAGTATTACCACGATTCAATCTTAACCCCTTGCATATTAGCTAGAGGTTAACGTTAACCACACTGGCGAGGTGGCGCAAGCAGTCGCCCGACCGAAAGGGTTGAGTTGCATGTATCCACTCCTACATCTAAGTCCACTCACTTCATCAGGGCAGCGTAACGGATTTTAATTTGGCACACCCTCATATTTCTGACTAGGAGCAATTTTAGACATAACAAAACAAATTCAAGTAAACAATACGAGGAGAAGATTTTCCGCCTTTCTTACGTTGCAGCAGTCTATACTAATCGTTCCTAAGATCATTGACTCTAACATATTCAGTTTTATCGGTGACGTTGCCAACAGACCAATCTTACCAGCTATTTTGACTATGCCACCGCTGCCGCAATGCATCGAGGGAACTTTGGTATTCCTGCACGTGCGACAACCTCCCTGGAGTTCTGCGCGTGTAGACCACGAGACGGCACGGGCCTCCTTGTGCACTGCCTTCTGCCTCCTGTGAACGAACGCTATGGCGGCGCCACGCATGCGCCTAACGTTCTTTATTCTTTATCATTTTCTTTATTCAGAGACTATCCCGCAGTGCCCGAGGGCGTTACCGCAGGGAGATTACAGTGCTAAAAAAAAAAAAGACAAATCTTAATTTTCACTGCACACTTGCAGCTCCGACAGCCCATTCCGCTGTCGTATCGTAAAAAAAAAAAAAAAAAAAAAAAAGAGTTGGCGTACATGTTTGTTTTGGCGTGGTACTCTCTAATTTTGAAAGCATTATCTTTCTGTTTAGAAATACAATATGGTTCTTTTAACAAAGTTTCACGGTTAATTCCAGTTTCATTTTTAAATATTTAAAACAGAAACTTTAAACGCAAATTGTTTTACGGCGGGCTGAGAGAGGTTCCCGATTCAGCCCGCCGTTGTCTGTTGTCTCTCCGCCCGTACCGTCCCAGAACGAGCCTAGCCGCTCTATTTTGTATTTTTTCTTCAAGTTTTTCTATTAAGGTGTTTTACTAAGGGGAAAAGCTGAGCTAGTTGGTTCTTAAACATCTTGGGTAAAACCAGCTGTCATCTTCTTCCTTTGTTCAGCTGGTTTTACCCAAGATGTATAAGGTGTTTTGTTCCGGGTCCCCCAGGCGGCACAGGCATATTCCAAAAATCGACCTAACACATGTTAAATGCGCGGTTTCCTTTAAGTTAAGGAGTGAACATTTTAGGCTTCGTTGAACAAAGTTCAGTGCCCTGCCAGCCTTTACAATCACGTCATCCACATGTGAATTCCACGAACAGTCAGTTGATATCGTGACACCTAAGTATTCATACTTAAAGTGCTTGTTTACTATATTGTTATTTATACAATACTGGGTTTCAATTTTATTATTCTTTTAGTAAGTGTGATCGGTTCATTCTAAGGGAAGTGCGACGAGATCCAGCAAAAAACACGTGGTTTTTACAAAAGGATTCTTGCGCCTTCAGAAATATTCGGATAAAACTTCTTCGGAATGGCGGCGAAAATGTGAAACAGAGCAACAGGGATGGTGTTGCGAGTACTTACGCGATGATCCATTTTTTCCCCAGATAACGGAGCCCCTTGTGCAGTCGTCGCACCACGTGACAGAGGGTTACGCTGCTCCAACCAGCTCGGCTGATCATCTGTACCCACCTGGCTCTCTACCTTGTGGACAGCCCTGGTCTCAAGCCCCGTTCTACCAGCAACCACACCGCCATCCCGAACCGCACCTACCGCCGTACCTCGTTCCGACGGCAGAGTCTGTGGAGTCGATGCCTCCAGCCCCACCGCCTTATGACTACAAGGATGGACTCCGTTACTAGAGCTGGGTGTTGTCAGCCACTGTGAGGTTCAGATACTTCCAGGGGCCATGTGCCTGAGTGTTGATGATATAGCAGAACAAGTCGAAGCTCCTGCAGTATCTTTACGGCTGTTAATGTTCACATTGTTCCCCTTGCGTCAATTTCATGAACTGTGCTAACACCTGTGTTCATTCATGTTAAGAAGCTATGTGCGGATCGATTAGGCCTTGGATCTAACCCGTCGGCGAGGTACGCAGTGATTATTAAAACAAGCTGCAGAGTACTACAGCTTTTTTTCTTCATAAACACGTTTTTTATTATGTAAGCAAACATATGTTCTCGTCACTCATTCGTTACCTGTCCGTATTCTGCTGCGGTAATTATCCCAGTAAACCAATCACCTGCTATATTACTACAATTTATTGTACTGTCACATTCCAGCTGCCTGGTCAATCGATCCATTATAATTGGTTCAATGTGCCTAAAACAGGCACGATTTCTTTAAAAGAAACTAGAGCAGCATTTAAATCTCACAACGAGTGCAGACATGTACGCACTATCAAAGAAAGGCAACTCTTTCGTCGGTCTTCGTTACTCGTTACTCAGTGTTGTTGTTAGCGTTGAGGTAATAGAAGGGTGAAAAAGATTCATTTGTGTATTCGCTCTGGGCGAATTTGTCAGTGACTCTGTCACTCTTTGAAATGACGTTACTCGTTACAGCGAAACAAGCCTTATTGATTTTGCATGTTTTAAGCTTGCGAGGGCATGGGGGTGTGCAGCAAAATACTTAAGTATGGAATAGATCTTACTCAGCGAAACTGAAATGGCCTTGGCGTCGACAGTTGTTGTGTAACTGGAATGTCTCGACTCGCGCAGCTTCAGAGTTTATCTTTTGAATTGGGAGGGGTAGCTGCCGCCATCTATCGTTGGGAGCACTCTTCGAGAGAGCGGAGACAGCCGTTTCTGCTGCCTCTGCGAATCCGGTATCTCGGTACATCGGTGGCAGCCCTCTCCCTCGGCGCAGCGGGATGAGCATGTGTTCTCTCGGACGCGAGGTTGTCCCCACTACTAGGGGAGGATTTGGCGCTGTAGGCGCGCTGTCTAATGCAAATGAGGAGAGTACAAATAAATTAATAACCGAACTATAAGCTACTTAGTTTCTTAATTCACCACTTTTCTTAAAATCCTCCTACGGGAGATTTTGTTTGAGGATTCCATGGAAGGAAACTTATACACACAAAGGGTTCTATTAGGGGAGAAACAAATAGTAACTGTTACAAGTATTTTAGGCGCTTCAAAAAGTATTCAAATTACTCTTTTGACTACTACCTCATTACAAAATTACTTCAAAAAGTAATCGATTACGAGTAATTTTAGCTTATAACTCTAGTCCGGGTAACATGACAATATGCAAAATAGATCTGCCTTTTGCCCTCCTACAGCATCTAAAGGAGCAAGGAAGCAAGCAACCAAGTAAGCAAGCAAGGAAGCAAGCAAACAAACAAAGAGACAAGGAAACCCATGCAAGGTATATCGTTTGTTACTTTGGTACGTTTTCGGCTAAATCAGAACTTGTAAAAATCTTTAAAGCGGCTAGTGTTTTTTTTTAATTTTAGCAGTTTTGTTAATAAAATAAACACAAACAAAATGAAAACATTGACATTTTTATCAAATACTGAGGACACTAAGAGGGAATTCTGCCCCCGAAATGAAAACAAGCATGAAGTGAGACGACGCCTGCCTGATTTCAAGTTCTCGTTTATCACACACTTCGCTTTCGGACAAGAGGGCGACGATTAGGAAGGCCGACTGCGAGCCTCTTGAGTACTATAAATGCACTCCAGTATCTCGAGTCTCGTGGCATAAGTGTCGCCTGCCCTTCCCGTTACTCAGGCAACTCAAACAAAGATGTGTCCAAAAGCATTTTGAAGAAAAAAAAAAGAGAAGAAAACAGCCCAAGCGCTTCGAATCGTTTAATGAGCTTTCTCCCGCTAAAACCGCTGGTATTTCTAAGGAACATATATCGCTCTAAAGAAAAGCGCCCTCGGAATATATTCCCTGCTACCGTGCACTCCAAAAAAAAAAAAAAAAAAAATTCCGTGTCTTCAGTTTTTTTTTCTCCCTCCCTCCCCCCCCCCCCCCCCCGGAGCAATTAGGAGAGCCAATCACTGCGATCTCCGGAGGGAGGTTGGCCAATCACAAGGCCGATAATATAAGCTTAGCTAAAAAGAAAAAAAAAATAATCAGTCTGAGCGGTGACACAAACACACACGCGCACGCGAACAAACCCACACTAAGAACGCCGACGACGACGACCCTTATTATTTTGTTTTGTCAATATCGATCACGATATTGACAGCTTCGAGGTACCAGAAAAGACGCTTAGTCTTACAGCCGTACCGAAGTCGTCAAATTAACGCTATCAAAATTATCCGTCAATACTAGCGTACCTCAAGGTCTCATAAGTTGCCTCATTGTGGTACCTTGAACTGACGAAATGGAACTCTTTCGTCGGAAAGCCGCCCTTCACTACCACATGCGCCGACGCCCTGTTTACAAACAAAGCAGCGTACAAAGAATGCCCGCGCAGCCCCACGCCATACGTGGGTACTGAGGGAGCGCAGAAGTCAGGTTTGCGTGAGATGAGGCGTCTGAGCATGCGCCGTGCCTTTAGACCGTTTTATCGTGGGTAGCGCCATTTTGAGACCGAGAGAGATGATTTGAAAGGGCTGGGGGGGGGGGGGGGGGCGGCGCTTTGGCCTTTGCTGGTGCGTTAGAAAGAGTGAAAGTCCCGGATGAGAGGCTTCGCCCGTTGGTGTTGGGTGTACGCATTGCCCGAACTTCGTTCGCGCTTTCTTTTCTGTTTTAACCTCGCAAAGTTAATTAGAGCCACGGGCTTCGATGGCGGCAGTCCCCGGTCATCGGGACGCCATTGCTGGATTATAAGGTGCACGAACAATGATAGAGAGCGTCGAATACATGTCGAAGCCTCCGAGGACCTATGCAGCTTGCACGGAATCCGGCAAGTGCGGCTGCAATGTCTTTAAACTTCATCACTTTCCACGTGACCCTGATCTCCGGCGGCTGTTGGTTGCGTCTGTAAACCGAAAAGACGTTTCCCCAACGCCATTCCCTCAACTGTGCTCGGAACATTTTGTAAATGGAGCGCGCACCGAACGCTGTACTGCCGAAGAACATGGGGTAAGCTCGCAATGTGCGCGCAAGTTTTCTCGTGATAATTACTGCTTCAGCTGGTAATTTTTTGTAACTGAATTTATCTTAATATTGATATCTTGAAGCGGTGACACTGACTCGATTTTAACATATACAACACTCAGTGGAAGGCTCATTTCCTCCACCGCGTGTGGCTGGAAATTGTCGAAATGTTTGTTGAATCGATTTTACTGAATCACGATCTTCTGCGCGATACTAAAGAGCCGTGAAACTATGTTGACCATCACAACGCCACTAGATTCTTTTTATTTTCAAGATTAGTAGAAAATGTAGCTGGACCGAAACCTTCAATTTCTGTTGCTGAAAGTTAAAACATGCTCATACATCGATTTTGAATGTTTGAACCATTGATCTACTCGCACCAGCAATAGGCCCATCTCGACTTTGGTGTATTCAGTTCTCGACAAAAGACACACTCGTCGACACGGAATCCTCAAATAAAACGTTTATAAACACCTTCAAGGCCGGAATGAGCTGCCTTCGATCGTTCCTTGCAATATTCTTATTTTGCACGTCCTTGTTCATAATATATTTTATTGTTGTGGACGACACGAAACGCCAAAAACATTCCATGCGTACTGCATCTACAACGACAAAAAAACCTGAAGCGAAATTTGATCGCTGTCATATGATACAAATTTTGGAGTACTCGCCTACGATTTCTACCGCTGGCGCGTTCAGTGCCGCACTTCTGGTGTCGACGCACTGGCTGATGCCATAATGCTGGGCCACAAACGTTCTCAATGAGTTGAAAAGCGCAATCCGCGGCGCACAAGACCACAAGACAGACACTGAGTGAGATACCCAGCACTTTGGAGCTCCCAACTATAGCACACCCAACGCGGGAGCGGGGCCCAGAAGAACACTTTCGCCAACGTTTCTAACCACTCAGCATGGCCGCGGAACCTGACGCTTGCTAGATGGCGAAGGAAGCTCACTCCGGCTTGAAGGTGTTTATAAACGTTTTATTTGAGGATCCTGTGTCGACGGGTGTGTCTTTTGTCGAGAACTGGATACACCAAAGTCAAGATGGGCCTTTTGCCGGAACGAGTCGATGAATGATTCCACGATTCGAAATCGATGCATAAGCATGTTTCAACTTTCAGCAACAGAAATTGAAGGTTACTTTCCAACTACATTATGTACTAATTTTAAAAATAAGAAGAATCTAGTCGCGTTGTAATGGTCAACATAGGTTCACGGCTCTCTAGTATCGCGCAGAAGATCGCGATTCAAGAAAACCGATTGAACTAACTTTTCGACAAATCCCAACTACACCCGGCGGCGAAAATGAGCCTTCGATTGAGTGTTGCAGATGATAAAATCAGGCCAGTGTCATCACTTCAAATATTACAATATTAAGATAAATTAAGTTACAAAACGTTATAAGCTGAAACCGCAATTATCACGAAGAAACCTGCACGCACCTGGCGAGCGTACTCCATGGATGTTCATCGACGGTATAGCGTTCGCTGCGCGCACCATTCATAAAATGTTCCGAGCACAGTCGAGAGGATGGTGTTTCGGTTTACGTACGAAACCCAATGTTACCGGATATCAGGGTCATGTGAAAAGCAATGGAGTTTAAAGACATTGCAGCCGCACATACACTCTAAAAAAAAAGGGTGTAGTGGGTACACCCACAGGGGGTGTAAGTGCTGCCACATATACTACACCCATAAAGGTGTACCGGTACACCTAAAAAATCAGGTGCATGTATACACCCTCTTTAGGGGTGCATATGTGCACCCTTTTATACACCTTCAGCATTCGGGGGTGCACAGATACACCCCATGCTCGGGTGTGTCTCTACTCCTTTCTTACACCCTGACTGTCGTTTCGGTGTGCAGGTACACCCCAATTTAAGGTGTATAAGTATTCCCTTCTCTACACCCAACAACCGGGTTTGCTATTACACCGTTGTTTACACCCAGCCCGCTCATAGGGAGCGGAGATACACCCGCCAACAGGGTTTACTATTACACCGTTTTTTACACCCACCCCGCTCATATGAAACATATATACACCTCATTCAATGATGTACCATTACACCTCTTTGTGCACCCACCTCGAGGAAGCCTGTAAAAAATGTACGCGCCCAGGTGGTTGCAAAAAGGCAGGTAAACAGACACAAGGGATTGTTTTCAAATCTCCTATAAGTTTATTAGACAGCCTATTCCGTAAACAAGTACAAACGTGCAAGCGATCTGTGATATGTGAAGATGTACAACGAAGCTGTCACACAACTGAGAAGATTACTGAGCGAACAAGAACCGGGGTGATTCTTAGGCAGTGTCTATTCTCTCAGCAGCCGGCAGAATTATTTACCCGAAATCGTGCCGGCAGTCGTCACTCATCGAACGACGTGTCATCGGCTGCTCAGGTTAGCTTTCCTCTATAAACATCTCTTTT